TAGAAGTAGGAGTAGTAGTAGTAATAGTAGTAGTAGTAGTAGTAGTAGTAGTAGTAGTAATAGTAGTAGTAGTAGTAGTAGTAGTAGTAGTTGTAGTAGTAGTAGTAGTAGTAGTAGTAATAGTACTCGTCGTAGTAGTCGTAGTAGTAGGAGTAGTAGTAATAGTAGTCGCAGTAGTAATAGTAGTAGTAGGAGGAGTAGGAGTAGAAGAAGTAGTAGTGGGAGTAGTAGTAGTAGTAGTAGTGGTAGTGGTAGTGGTAGTGGTAGTGGTAGTAGTAGTAGTAGTAGTAGTAGTAGATAGTAGTAGTAGTGGTATGTAGTAGTAGTAGTAGTATAGGTAGTAGTAGTCGTAGTAGTAGGAGTAGTAGTAGTAGTAGTAGTAGTGATAGTCGTAGTAATAGTAGTAGTAGTAGTAATAGTAGTAGTACTAGTAGTAGTGGTAGTGTAGTCGTTGTAGTAGTAGTAGTAGTAGTAGTAGTAGTAGTAGTAGTAGTAGTAGTAATAGTAGTAGTAGTAGTAGTAGTAGTAGTAGTAGTAGTAGTAGTAGTAGTAGTAGTAGTAGTAGTAGTAGTAGTAGTAGTAGTAGTAGTAGTAGTAGTAGTAGTAGTAGTAGTAGTAGTAGTAGTAGTAGTAGTAGTAGTAGTAGTAGTAGTAGTAGTAGTAGTAGTAGTAGTAGTCGCCGTCGTGGCACACATGATAAGAATGAAAAGGATGGTGGGGGGACGAGGAGGATCGGGAGGAGGAGGACGACGACGACGACGAGGGGGAGGAGGAGGACGAGGAAGAAGACGATCAGGAGGTGGAGGACGAAGAAGAAGGAGGATGAGGAGGAAGAGGGCAAGGAGGAAGGGGAGCAGGATGATGACGAGGGCGAGGAGGATGGGGGGGGAGGGGGCAGAGGAGGACGGAGGAGAAGGAGGACGAGGAGGACGGGGAGGAGGAGGGGGACGAAGATGATGAGGAGGAGAGGGAGGAAGAAAAGGGGGGGAAAACGGAGGACACACGCAAACCCCCTATAGGGTTGCGTTGTGTTGTGTTGTGTTGTTCGCCCCCCCCCCCCCCCATCCCCCCCCCGGGGGGGGCTGCCCCGCCTGTATCAACAACAACAACAACAACAACAACAACAGCAGCAGCAGCAGCAACAACAGCAGAGACGACGATCGACGACGACGACGACGACGATGACGATCAACGACGACGACGATCGACGACGATCGACGACGACGACCCCGAAGATCCCCCCCACTATCGTTGGACCTATAGCTTCACGCCGGGCCCCTCGCAAAACGGCCCCTGGGCCCAAGAGACAGCCTCCGGAGCATTCCCACGCGCGCCAGGAGCGCCAGGAGCGCCCACGCGGCGCGCCAGGAGCGCCAGGAGCGCCAGGAGCATTTCCACGCGCGCCAGGAGCGCCCACCCTCCGGAGCGGGGCGCCAGGAACGCCCACGCGGCGCCCGGGACCCGCCCAGGACCCGCCCCGGGACCCGCCCCGGGAGCCTCGCGCAAGACTGGCCGCCCAGGGCCCGCCCAGGACCCTCCCTCCGCCCAGGCCCTGCCCAGGGCCCGCCCTGCCCAGAGCCCGCCCAGGGCCTCCCAAAAGGACCTCACAAAAGGAGGGAGGGAGGGGAAGGGGGAGGGAGGGAGGGAGGGAGGAGGGTGTGAGGGAGGGAGGGGAGGGAGGAGGGAGAGGAGGGAGGGAGGAGGTAGGAGGAGGAGGAGGAGGAGGAGGAGGAGGAGGAGGAGGAGGGAGGAGGAGGAGGAGGAAAAGTGGAGGAGGAGGATGGAGGTGGAGAAGAAAGGAGGAGGTGGAGGGGGGAAAGGAGGGAGGAGGGGGTGGTAGGAGGGGAGGAGGGAGGAAAGGTTAGAGGAGTCGGGTGAGGGACCACCCCGGGGACCCGCCGAGGACATCACAAAAGGAAACAACGAGCCCTTCGAAACTTGTCCTCCTCCACCGGGCAACGAACCGCTCCCCCGGGGAACGAACCTCTCGCGCTATCTGGGGCTGCCCAGGCGGCGAGGGGGAGGCCCAGGAGGCCCCCGCGAGGGAGGTGCTCAAAGGGGGGGCGGGGGGGGGGGGGCATCAGGCTGGGTTGGGCGCCCGAGGCCCGTGTACATATATAGATATATAAATTATATATTTATATATCTATATATATATCATAGCGAGGGCGAAATGTTATTATATATTTATATATTTATAATACACACTCCTCTGCATAAAGTTTTGTTGTAAGCGGGGGGCGCGGGAGAAAACGCCCCCCCCCAAAACCGGACCCCAGGATCTGGAGCTTCAAGACCCCGTGGAGGCCCTTGAAAGAGGCTCCCCAGCTCTTCCGCGCCTCCCAGGGCGCCTTGCCAGGCCCTGCCAGTAAGCTCAAAGCGATCAGAGAAGTGGTCGGAGAGGCGCAGGAGAGCCCCACGGCAGCGCAAGAGGGCCTCAAGACGGCCCAAGAGGCGTCCAAGACGGCCCAAGAGGCCCCAAAGACGCCCCAAGAGGCCTTCAGGAGAGCCCCAAAAAGGCAAACCTCGTCCCATCCCCTCAGGGAGACGCGCATTTTCAGCATCCTCGCTTGCTGTGGCATAGCAGCGTCCAAGACGGCCCAAGAAACCTGCGAGATCGCCCCGAGGCGGTCCAAGAGGCCCCCAAGAGGGCTTCAAGCCGGGCCAAGAGGACCCCAAGACTGCCCCAAGACGGCCCGAAAGAAGCTCACGAGGCCCCCAAAGGCTCCCAAGAAAGACCCAAGAAGGCCATGGGAGGCCCCGAGGAGGGCCCAAGTTTCCCAGGAGAGCCCCACGGCAGCACAAGACGGCCTTCAGACTCTTGGGCCCCCAAGACGGCCAAAGAGGCCCCAAAGACGCTCCAAGAGGCCCTGAAGAGAGCCCGCCCCCATGAGGCAAACAACATCCCAGTCCCCTCAGAGAAACGTGCATTTTCAGCAGATTCGTTTTCGTAGCACCGTCCAAAACTGCCCAAGAAGCCTGCGAGATCGGCCCAAGGTGGTCTAAGAGGCCCCCAAGAGGGCTTCAAATCGGGCCAAGAGGACCCCAAGACAGCCCCAAGACGGCCCAAAAAAACTCACGAAGCCCCCAGAGACTCCCAAGAGAGACCCAGGAGGGCCATGGGAGGCCCCCAACAGCACCAGTTTTCCAGGAGAGCCCCACGGCAGCGCAAGAGGGCCTCAAGACGGCCCAAGAGGCGTCCAAGACGGCCCAAGAGGCCCCAAAGACGCCCCAAGAGGCCTTCAGGAGAGCCCCAAAAAGGCAAACCTCGTCCCATCCCCTCAGGGAGACGCGCATTTTCAGCATCCTCGCTTGCTGTGGCATAGCAGCGTCCAAGACGGCCCAAGAAACCTGCGAGATCGCCCCGAGGCGGTCCAAGAGGCCCCCAAGAGGGCTTCAAGCCGGGCCAAGAGGACCCCAAGACTGCCCCAAGACGGCCCGAAAGAAGCTCACGAGGCCCCCAAAGGCTCCCAAGAAAGACCCAAGAAGGCCATGGGAGGCCCCGAGGAGGGCCCAAGTTTCCCAGGAGAGCCCCACGGCAGCACAAGACGGCCTTCAGACTCTTGGGCCCCCAAGACGGCCAAAGAGGCCCCAAAGACGCTCCAAGAGGCCCTGAAGAGAGCCCGCCCCCATGAGGCAAACAACATCCCAGTCCCCTCAGAGAAACGTGCATTTTCAGCAGATTCGTTTTCGTAGCACCGTCCAAAACTGCCCAAGAAGCCTGCGAGATCGGCCCAAGGTGGTCTAAGAGGCCCCCAAGAGGGCTTCAAATCGGGCCAAGAGGACCCCAAGACAGCCCCAAGAGGGCCATGGGAGGCCCCCAACAGCACCAGTTTTCCAGGAGAGCCCCACGGCAGCGCAAGAGGGCCTCAAGACGGCCCAAGAGGCGCCCAAGACGGCCCAAGAGGCCCCAAAGACGCCCCAAGAGGCCTTCAGGAGAGCCCCAAAAAGGCAAACCTCGTCCCATCCCTCCAGGGAGACGCGCATTTTCAGCATCCTCGCTTGTTGTGTCGTAGCAGCGTCCAAGACGGCCCAAGAAACCTGCGAGATCGCCCCAAGGCCCAAGAGGCCCCCAAAGGGGCTTCAAGCCGGGCCAAGAGGACCCCAAGACTGTCCCAAGACGGCCCGAAAGAAGCTCACGAGACCTCCAAAGGCTCCCAATAGAGACCCACGATGGGCATGGCAGGTCCCCAAGAGGGCCACAGTTCCCCAAGCAGGCCCCAGGACGGCCCAAGAGGGACCCAAGACAGCCCACACGGGCTTCAGAAGGACCCCCTGGACAGCCCAAAGAGGCGCCAGGGAGGCCTCCAGAGGTCCCCAAAGCCCTTGAGAGGCATTCGTGAGGCCCCCAAGAGGTTCTCTAACGAAGAGCCTCGGCAAAAAAGACCTGCGGCATACGGGAAATGGTTCGCAATGTCAGAAGAGAACGTGGATGAACGAGAAGTGCGATGAAGAACGATGAGGCGTTGCTTTCCATTGCCTGGCATTGCGCGACCGGGCGACCTGGGCCACGAGCGAGCCCGTGTGGTGGCCACGCGAAGGACCCCGAACGTCATTCCTCTGCACGATCGTGCATCTTCCAGAAGGCGTCTCCTACGAGATTCCCCCAATTGACCCGAATCCCTGGCTCGCAGCCTCCAGGTGGCGTTCTCGCGCCACGTGATCGGGTCCGCGCCGAAAGTCAAATCAAAACGCAATCCAGGAGAAGTTCGGGTGGCGCACGGATCTGCAGAGCGCTGGAAAAAGCAAATAGGAACGGGTGAGGGGGAACGGTCAAAGTTCAAAGGCCAAAGAGGACGGCGCCAAGTGCCAACAGATGCAAGGATTGAGGGATCAAGGTGCATGGCGCGAAGCGCCAATGCACTCTTGTATAGACATATGTATACACATACAAATGTACAGACCGACATGTACATCGATGCGTGTGTGTTTACATCACCACAACTACGCAAGCGAGCACAAAACAGAAGCATGGCCATACAGCTCAACCCACGAGAGGCCCCCCTGGTAGCGCTGAGGCAGCCACCGTAGGAGTAGATGCCGCGCAGGAGGCCCTCCTTGAGGTCGTAGTCGTCGAACGACTCGAAGACCGGGTACTCCTCGGCGCCTCATTGGCCGACGGCGGTCGCCGCGGGATCCTCCTCGTCCTTTCTGCTCCGCCTCCTTCTTGTTCTTCTCCTCCCCCTCCTCCTCCATCCTTCCCCCCTCCTCCTCCGCCTCCTCTCCTCCACCTCCTCCTCCTCCTCCCTCCCTCCTCCCTCCTCCTCCTCCTCCTCCTCCTCCTCTCTCCTCCTCCTCCTCCTCCTCCTCCTCATCCTCCTCCTCCTCCCATAGTCCACCTCCGTCTCTCCTCCTCCTCCTCCTCCTCTCCTCCTGCTCCTCCTTCCTCCTCCTCCTCAATCCATCCTCCTCTCCTCCTCCCCCTTCCTCCTCCTCCTCTCCTCCTCGCTCCTCTCTCCTATCCTCCTCCTCCTCCTCCTCCTCCTCCTCCTCCTCCTCCTCCTCCTCCTCCTCCCCATAGTCCACCTCCGTCTCCTCCTCCTCCTCCTCATCCTCGTCGTCGTCGTGGTGGTCGTCTTCTCCCTCGTCAGCATCGTCATCATCATCATCAGCAGCAGCACCACCAGCAGCAGCATCAACATCAACACCACCATCACCATCACCATCGCCATCATCACCGCCGTCATCAGCATCAGCATCAGCATCAGCATCAGCATCAGCATCAGCATCAGCATCATCATCATCATCATCATCATCATCATCATCATCATCATCATCATCATCGTCATGAGCATCCGCATCATCATCTTCATCCAGATCATCAACATCAATGTCGTCGCCGTCACCATCTAAGCACGATCGTCGACGTCACAGGCACGACCGATATCATCAACTGCTCGGATGTTCCGTATCCCGTGCAACTGCTGATCATTACAAGCACCATACATACGTCTCATCCTCCTCTTAATCAGGATCATCATTAACATCATCATCATCGTAATCAGCGTCGTGATCACTATCGCAGTCGTAATCAGCATCAGTACCATTACCATCATCACGAACATCCCATCATCAACACAATCAGCATCATCATGATCATGATCATGATCATGATCATGATCATGATCATGATCATCATCATCATCATCATCATCATCATCATCATCATCATCATCATCATCATCATCAAAGCATCACCATCGTCACCACCATCATCACCCTCATCATCACCAACAAGATCATCATCACCATCATCTTTGTCATAGTCATCATCGTCGCAAGCACCACAATCGACATTCATTTCCTGATCCCCATTATCCTGTGCTGGTGCGTGCTTACCACCTTACGTATTGACCATCATGTATATCATCTCCCCACCACAATCACCATCACCGTCGCCATCACCACCACCATTAGCATCACCGTCATCATCATCACCACCACCACCATCATCATAATTTATCATAATCATCATCATCGTCATCATCATCATCATCATCATCATCATCATCATCATCGTCATCATCATCATCACCGTCATCATCAGCAGCATCATCATCAACAACACCATCACAACCATCACCATCAGCAGGAACAACATCATCGTCAGCATCATTACCATCAGCAGCAGCAACATCATCATCATCACCTTCCTTACCCTCTCTTCCACCTCTTCTCTGCTCCCCTCCTGCTTTGAGCGCGGACCTGGCGACCCGCCGCGGCCGGATGCATTTGGGAAAACGATTGCGACTGGATTCCGGGAAGGGTCCAGCTGGGGGGCCCATGGTGAACGATTTCAATGCGTGGTGAAAACGGAAGAATTTTGCTGCAGAGTCTTAGTTTTTTCAGTTTTTCGTGGTTCTCGTCGTCGAAGGGCCGCCTCCGGGTCCCGTGGTCATTCGGGGTCATTGTGGATCCCCGTCGGGGCCTCTTGGGTGCGTTCATGAACGCCCTTTGACGTTTTCTCGGGGCGAAGTGCTCGAATTCTCCATTCGGGTCTCCTTTCTGACCCTCCTCTTGGGGCCGTCCTGGAGCTCTCCCTGGTGGCTTCGGGGGCCTTGTTGGGGCCAGTTTGTGCCGTCTGGGAGCCTTCTTGGGGGCATGCGAAGAGTTTTGGGGGGGGGGTTGGGGCTGCTGTGGGAGTCGTGAAAGGTCAAGAAGCGAATGTATTAAACTTAGACGTGCGCCTTCGGGAAAGGGGCCGATGCTTGGTTATGCCGGGCTTCTTGGGGCGCGTCCTGGTGGTGTGTTGGGGCGTCCAGGGGGCCTCAGGGGTCAGCTGGAGGCAATGGCGGGCGTCTGGGCCCGATCTCCTCACGAGTCGTAGCTCGCGCCCTGGAGCCGTCGGGGAGACCTTGTGGGACCTATTTGGGGATTTGTTGGGGGCCGTCCTGGGTCGGTTTGGCGGCTTCTGGTGCCTTTTGGCGCCCACGTGGGTTGTCTTGGGGTCTTTTGGAGAACCTTTTTGGGTCGTATTGGGTCGATCTGGAAGGCTTCTTGGGCTGTAGTGGGCCTCGCGAATGCCGAAGAGGCGAACGTGCCGGAAACGTATCTTGTCCATTAGAACAAACGATAACTTTTTGCTTCTGGAAAGCCTCTTGGGACGTTTCCGGGCGGTTTCTCGGGGGGCCTGCTCTCTCGCGTCGCCGGTCATCTCTCGAGGACCCGAAAGGGGCCCCGTGGAGGCCCCGACGACTCTGACACAATGGCGGCCGCCGTGGCATTCTTAGGGGGAGAAAGAATGACATAAACCTAGAGACTCGGAGGTCTGCGCGGATTTCTCGGATCGGCGCTGGACCCCCTGCCTGGCGCGCGGAGCGCGCCAGGGGCGGCGCCAGAGGCGCCGCCAGGGCGGTCCAGCGCCGAACCTCCGAGTTTTTATGTTTATGTCATTCTTCATTCCCCTATTTCTGGCCGCGCCCGTCGTCGTCGTCGTCGTCGTCGTCATCGTCGCCGTCGTCGCCGTCGTCGTCGTCGTCGTCGTGCGTCGTCGTCGTCGTGCGCCGTCGTCGTCGTCGCCGTCCTCGTGCGTCGTCGTCGTCGTCGTGCGTCGTCGTCGTCGTCGTCATCGTCGTGAGTCGTCGCCGTCGTCGTCGCCGTCGTCGTCGTCGTCGCCGTCGTCGTCCGTCGTCGTCGTCGTCGTGCGTCGTCGTCGTCGTCGTGATCGTCGTCGTGGTCGCCGTCGTCGTCGCCGTCGTTATCGTCGTCGTCGTCGCCGTCGTTATCGTCGACGTCGTCGTCGTCGCGCGCCGTCGTCGTCGTCGTCGTCGTCGTCGTCGTCGTGTGTCAACGTCGTAGCCGTCGTCGTGCGTCGTCGTGCGTCGTCGTCGTCGTGCGTCGTCGTCGTCGTGCGTCGTCGTGCGTCGTCGTCGTCGTCGTCGTGATCGTCGTCGTGGTCGCCATCGTGGTCGCCGTCGTCGTCGCCGCCGCGCCCTCTCTCCGGCGAAGGCTCGCCCGCCCGCGTCGACGCCGTCGTGCGTCGTCGTCGTCGTCGCCGTCGTCGTGCGTCGTCGTGCGTCGTCGTCGTCGTGCGTCGTCGTCGTCGTGCGTCGTCGTGCGTCGTCGTCGTCGTCGTCGTGATCGTCGTCGTGGTCGCCATCGTGGTCGCCGTCGTCGTCGCCGCCGCGCCCTCTCTCCGGCGAAGGCTCGCCCGCCCGCGTCGACGCCGTCGTCGTCGTCGCCGTCGTCGTCGCCGTCGTCGCCGTCGTCGCCGTCGTCGTCGTCGTCGTCGTCGTCGTCGTCGTCGTCGTCGTGATCGTCGTCGTGGTCGTCGTGCGTCGTCGTCGTCGTCGTGGTCGTCGTGCGTCGTCGTCGTCGTCGCCGTCGTCGTGCGTCGCCGTCGTCGTGCGTCGTCGTCGTCGTGCGTCGTCGTCGTCGTGATCGCCGTCGTGGTCGCCGTCGTCGTCGCCGCCGTCGCCGCCGCCGCGCGCTCTTTCCGGCGAAGGCTCGCCCGCCGCGGCGCCGGCGTGCCGCCCCCGAGCCTGCCTCGGCAGCGCGCAGAGGGGGGCAACGAGGAGGAGGGGGGTAATCAGGGGGAGCAGGAGGGAGGGAGGGAGGGAGGGAGGGAGGGAGGGAGGGGGAGGGGGAGGAGGAGGAGGAGGGAGGGGGAGGAGGAGGAGGAGGGAGGAGGAGGAGGAGGAGGGAGGAGGAGGAGGAGGAAGGAGGAGGAGGAGAGGAGGAGGAGGAGGAGGAGGAGGAGGGGCTTTTTTTGACTGTACTTAGCTCGTTGCAAGTTAGCTTGAGCGCAGCGGCCAACAGGACTGGCACAGGCTGCACACGAGAAGCCCGAGAGCATGGACGCTGAGCTGCTTCCGCTGAGCTGCACACGAGAAGCCCGAGAGCATGGACGCTGAGGAGGAGGAGGGGGGGGGGAGGGGGAGGGGAGGGGGATGAATCAGGGGGAGGGGAGGGATGGGGAGGGGGGAAGGCTTCCTAGACTAGGGCAGCGAACAATTGCACAAACACAAAAAACTCGGAGGTCCGCGCGGATTTCTCGGAGCGGAGCTGGGGCCCCCTGGCGGTGCCTCTGGCGCCGCCCCTGGCGCGCTCCGCGTGCCAGGGAGGGGGTTCAGCGCGGATCCGAGAAATCCGCGCGGACCTCAGAGTTTTTTGGCTTGTTCCCCTAAAATAGGAGGGGGGGAAGGCTTCCTAGACGGAGGCTGCTTCTTAGCAAGCGCCGGCCTCACGTGTACAGGTGACGCGAGCACCCGCCAAGAAGCCGGGGTGCTTCTGCGAAGCCTTCCACCCTCCCCCTCCACCCTTCGACGAGCGCGTTCTACTACTTGCAAAGTAGCTACTCGCAAATGGCCTGGGTCCGCCGCGGGGAAATTACGACACGCTATTTATCTTTTGTATAGATACATCTACTATAAATAAATACATAAACAAACAAAACTAAATAAATAAGTAAATAAATAAATACATACTGAATAGATAAACCAATAAATACATTAAAAACACAAATGAATGAATACATATAGAGAGGAAGGCATGTTTTTGTCGGACATTTGCGACTAGGCACTTTGCGAGTAGCGGAAGGCGCCGTGCGAACCCCTCTGCGCACGGCCGACTGCCGCGGGGGTCAGTCCAGCTCCGCCAGCTGCGTCGGCGGCGCTGGCGGCGCCCCGGCCGCGGGCGGCGCCCCGGCTGCGGGCGCGGCCGTGGCGGCGAGCAGCCGCCGCCGCAGCGCTGCGACGAAGGCCGCCTCGCGCGCGCCGCCGCGGTGCTCCCTGGGGACCTGCCGGCCGCGCCGGGTCGGGAGCGAGCTCCATGCCCAGACGTCGGGCGTCTCGAAAAAATCGAGGCGGAGGTTTTTCGTGGTTTTCGGCCTCTCGAGGCCCTCGCCGGGCCTCGGGACCGTCAGAAAGCGACTCGGGACGAAAAACCGGTCTCGGGGAAGTGGTTGGGAGGTCGGGGTCACGTGCATCGTTCCTCATCATCCCTCTCCCCCCCCTCCTCCTCCTCCTCCTCCTCCTCCTCCACTCCTCCTCTCCTCCTCCTCCTCCTCTCCTCCTCCTCCTCCTACTCCTCCTCCTCCTCCTCCTCCTCCTCCTCCTACTCCTCCTCTCCTCCTCCTCCTCCTCCTCCCTCCTCCCTCCTCCTCCTCCTCCTCCCTCCTCCTCCTCCTCCTCCTCCTCCTCCTCCTCCTCCTCCTCCTCCTCCTCCTCCTCGAAAAAATCGAGACGTCGGATTGCTGGGTGGGCCAGAGCGGCCTCTGGCGGGCGGGCCCGCCACGAGGGCCCAGCAGCGAACCGGCGAGTCGGAACGGCGATCGACGAGGAATCGGGTCGGCGGGGAACTCAACTCGGCGGCAGAGGCGGGGGAAGTCGGATCGGCGGCGATCGGTCGGCCAAGAAGGTCTCCATGAGGAGAGATCGGCATCCGCGTGGCGGATTCTGGGAGCCCTGGACCCGAAAAACGATGTCGTCCCTTGGGGGCGCATCTTTTACTTCCGCCTCCGTGCACTGGCCTTCCGTTGGCTTCCGCTTGCGGAAGCGGCCTTGTCTTACTTCCGCCGACCTTCCGCCGAGGAAGAGATGACAGCTCCTTCTGTCCTCGAAGGCAAGGCCCTTTTTGGAACGCACCATATCGGAATCTAGAAAAAGAGAAGACGGCATAAACATGCTGGACCCCCCTCCCTGGCGCATGGAGCCGGAGGCGCCGCCGGGGGGGGCCCAGGGCGGATCCAAGAAATCCGCGCGGAGCGACAAAAGCTTATGTTGATGGCGTTTTTCTCCTTCGAGAATCCCAAGTCGAATCGAATCGGAATCGGAAGCCATCCACATCGAATCGAATCGAGCTGGAGGAGGCGAAACGAGCCCCCCTGCACGGGTTTTTTTTTTCGCAGGGGGGGCCCAGGCTAAAGAGGGCGCGCAGGCCCCCTGGGCGCCATCGCACCGCACTCGGCGATCGGGGGGCCCAGTGGGCCCGCACCAGAGGTCGCTCCGGCCAAGGGTCGCTCTGACGTCTGGTACGACGACGCCAGGACGAGGATCAGTTCGGGCGAGGAGGAAGCCAGGAGGATCTCTGAGATCCCGCGGCTCTGGAGGATGCACTACCGGGCGCCGCGGCCTCCGAGAGCGTTCCAGAACGCTCTGGGACGGATCTATCCTCGTCCTGGCCCCGTCCGACGTCTGGCCGCGCCTCCTTGAAGAACTGCAGGGTCCACTTGCCCACCGCGCCGGCCACGGCGCCCCCGCCGTGCCAAGACAGCGGGTCGGCCGCGGGCGCGTCCTCCGCGCCCCCCGCGGCGGCGCGGGACCCGAGCAGGTTGAAGAAGAGGCAGGCCTTGCCGCGCTGGGGCGCCACCCGCAGCGAGCTGGGCTCCTCGGCGGCGCGGCGGATGAGCTCGACGGACGCGCCCTGCAGGCCCCGGCTCACGACCGCCTTGCTGTTCGTGTGCGTGGCGCCGGACGAGGCGAGCCTCACCCCGAGCGCCCCGCTCTCGGCGTCGCCCGCGCACGGGAACACCGTGAAGCCGCGCTCGCAGCTGTTGAGGTAGACCATCAGCGTGCAGGCGCGATGGGCGAAGCCGCTGTTGACGTCCAGGTGGAGCCCGAGCTCAAACTCGGTCTCCGCTGAGACTTGCTCGCTGGGCCGGTCGAACTTGATGAGGGGCAGCAGCTCGTCTGGATGGATCTAGGAGAGGAGAGGAGAGGAGAGGAGAGGAGAGGAGAGGAGAGGAGAGGAGAGGAGAGGAGAGGAGAGGGAGGGGAGGGGAAAAGAGGGGAGGGGAGGGGGACGGAAGGGGAGGGGGAGGGGAGGGGAGGGAGGCAAGCTAGGGGCGCTCGCGCAATATGTGACACCATGATTATTCCTCCCACCCAGCCCTTCTCATTGCGTTTGTCTTGTGTCATCTCCAAATCGCCGATTTCACCCACGAGTGGTACTTTCAGGACTTGGCCCCTCGTTTGCTGTGCAATCGGCTGGGGGGCCTGCCGTACATTGGAGGAGGATGAGGATGAGGATGAGGATGAGGATGAGGATGAGGATGAGGACGAGGATGAGTTTATCCAGACGGGGCCGCATGCGTGCGCTGGCTAAGCAAGCAGACTCAGGCGTAAGCCCGACATGAAAGGAATAAGCTCGGGCACCTCCCAAAGGGAGTGCCGCACGAGATCGGGTCAGGAGGCCACCCCTACTCGGCGCGATCGTCATCCTCCACGACCAAGCCCCCGAGGGTGGCGTCGATGACGAACTCGCCGAATGGGCGTGGCCTCAGCTGACCCTGGTCAGTCGGCAGCAGCGGCCGCCCAGTGCGAGGGTGGCGGCCCTCCCAGAGACGGTCCAAGCGCGGCCGTGTCTTGGGGTGCACTCCACCGTGGCAGGGTTGCGCCAGCAGCTGCGCATTCTCGCTCGAGTGCGCCCCGCAGCTGGCGCAGAAGACGAACTGGCCTACATGCCAGACGCGGTGGCCTCCGCCTGGGGCACACGTGGGCGTGTCGAAGGCCTCACGGTGCCGTGCCACGCGCAAGCACCGCGCACACCTGACACCGCCCGTGGGCGCAGGCACAGGCACATGCACACCAGGGGACGGCTCCGCGTCCGCCGAGAGGGCAGGCGTCGGTCCCCTCCTCCGCGCCCGCCGCAGCTGCCCTTGGCGGGGCGCCGACTGCGACTTAGGGCCGACCGCCTGCAACGTCCTGGCCAGGAACTTGGCCGCAAACGTGACCAGCTTAAAGGAACGCTGCACACGCGCGCTAGCCTCAGCATCCGACGGACGCAGAGCAGCGCCCACACGAGCGCCAGCATCTGCGTGATGGTTTCCCCATCGCGCGACCGCACCCAGCTCCTGCTCGTCGTCATGACGGCGGCGGGCGTGGCCCTTGACTTTCAGCACCTCCACAGCCCCCCCCCAGGTCGTCCACCCGATCCCATATCAGAGACCACACGTCGGCGCCCTCGTACGCGGCGCCCGTGGTCTCGAGGCGGCCTCGCTGAAAACTCGTGACCACCCATTCACAGTCCGTGTGGTAGCGAAAGGGGCCGAGCGAGACATGCGTGAGATACATGAACAGGCCGCATGCCTCGGCCAGGTCCGACGCCTGGTGCAGACCAGGCTGCAAGCCGCACAGGGGCGCCACGAGCTCCCCTCGGGCGTCAACCTGCACTACACACCAGCCTGCACGACTGAGGCGCTGGTCGCCTTGCACCAGCGACGCACGCGAGCCGTCGCCGAAGGCCTCGCCTTCGAAGTGGCCGTCCAGTGGGCGCTTGAGCCAGCAGACGTGGAGGGAGAGGGAGGGGCCGAGCACCCAAGGGCGAGGGTCAGTGACCAGGCCGTGCCTCCAAAGGGCCCAATCGGGGTGCTCGCGGAGCCCCGACCTGGCAGAGGGGGGAAGGTCATATTCACGCACGGATTGCCAGGTGGCCAGGCACTCGCCCGCAATCCACGCGGCGAGGGTGCCTGGGCAGCACCCACACAGGGGGCACGACGGATCGGTCGTCAGACCATGTCGAAACTTACGAGCCTGGTCCCAGATCCCGTTCGCAGCAATCGCTCGGAGGCTGGCCTGGTGCCGAGGGGTCCAGTCGGGGCCACGCGCACCGTTGCAGAGCCTGCGGATGGGGAACACATAGGGACGGTGAGAGAGGCTCGACAAATACTCGCATCCCTTTGAGCACGATCCATTAGCCAGTCCTCAATGGCAAAACGAACAACATGCAGCACAGAACGGGGGCAAAGACGAGTGAGGTCGATGTTGTCCCCCTCGTGGGTTAAAAGCATGCACACTCCTGGGCCGAGCCTCCATCCGATCCGACGGCAGCTGGCGACGGCGGCAGAGATCGGGCCCTCGACTAGGGGCCAGTCGCTTTTTGACGGGTCGGCCAAGAAAGCGGCCTCCGAAGCAAACATCAGCCTGGCAACCAAGTCCCGGGGAACCCACGAGGACCAAATCGCTCGGGCCAACATAAGCATGGGTCCTGCCGTGCACGCGTAGGCAGGGTCTACCGACCACGGGGAGGCAGGTGCGAGGTGGAGGTCAACATCGAGGGAGCGACGAGCTGTGTGCACGAACAGGGCAGAGTGTGCAGCTCGCCTCATCGGTTCGATCCCGCTCCACGCCCTCCCCGTCACGCCCACTCCCCAACATCCCGCTGGGGTCAGCCCCAGGATGACCAGCTGCCGCGTTCTCCCTCGGGCCGCGCGCAGCACCCGTATGCGCGCAGCACGGCGAAGGGCGGCGGCAGTGCGCTTGGCCCGCGTGCTCACTCCAGCACGGCGCCCGCTGGCGTAGTCGATGGCCAGGTTCCTCGCCGAGCCCGCGAGCTTGGCCCTTTGGGGGCGGCAGCGCCGTGTGACCTCGCGACCGCAGTCGGCTGAGTTGGACAGCACCACGCCCTTGCCGTCGTTGACTACGAGCCCGTCCGCCGAGAGGTCGTCTCGAATCCTCTTGTAGGCTGCGCTGACGTTGGCCGCCACGACCCTGGGCAGCCCGATCTTGCTAAGCTGGATGTCGTCGACAGTGTTGCCCACGTCCACCGCGCCGAGCGCCGCGATCTCGTCGAGCCGCGGGACCAGGAAGATGCGCATGCAGAGGCCGGCGAAACTGCAGCCCGCCACCACTCCGCGTTGCGGGCTGCACCAGCCCATGGCGACTCCGTCCACGGTGACCAGCCTCGGCAGAGCGCACAGCCTGACGAGCATCCTCATCAGCATCATGTTGAAGCCCATGGCGTGGGCGCGCTGGACCAGCAGCGCCCGCGGGATGTGCTCGTAGGCCTTAGAGAAGTCCATGAGCACCGTGCATGCCGCCTGCCTGCGGTGCGTCGCCACCTCCGCGTTGGCCGCCTGGATCCACACACACGTCTCACAGCTCTGGCCTGCCGTACCGTAGACGTAGACCCTCTGGTGGGCGCTGGCCCAGCGGGCGCCGAGCGTGCCGCGCGCCCAGCGCGCGAAGGGCCTCGGGGAGCCCGCGAAGAGCCCGATGGTGCGGAACCCCGAGTCGGACTTGGGGATGAGTGCCATCTGCAGCACGGCCAGCGCTTTCGGCACGTAGTCGAGGACCAGCATGTGCCGCCAGACGGTCGTCAGGGCCATCAGCGTGCCGTCCGACAGGAAGGCGATGTGCCGCGGGTGGAAGGCGTCGCCCCCCAGGCCTGTGATGTGCGGGAAGGAGTGGCCCACCTTCCACAGCTCCTCGGGCGTCGGCAAGGGGGGCATGTCGCCAAGCTCCCTTGGCCAGCGGATCGCCTCAAGCCCTTCGCCCTGGCTCCACAGGGCGCGCCACGGGCTGATGGCCGCATCCGCTGTCTCCTGCGCCGTCTGCAGCCCCACGGCTGGCGCCCACCGCGCCGCCGCCCATGGGGCAGGCTCGCGGATCCAGCGAAACGCCTTGCGCATGCCATCCGCTGCGGTGGCATCGCGCGTCCAGTCGAGCCAGGCCTTGCAGCGCCTGTGCGACGCCCTCCCTGCTGCGGTCGCTGCATGACGGCGTAAGAGGGCAAGCAGCTCGTCGCACTCGACGTCGTGGAGGCAGTGCAGGCGCCGCGCCAGCCGCCGCCAGGCACGCCACACCGTCTGCTCGCACCCAGGGACTGGTGGCTTGAAGCGCAGCAGCTTCACCTGCAGGCGCCTCGCGTGGGCCCGAGCTGCTTGTCCCCCAGCCCAGAGCAGCCGCCACTCCTGCACCCCGTCCGCCAGCCAGCCCCAGTGCGCGTCGGCTGGGTCTGGCCGCTCGGTGGGCTGCCAGCTGCTGGAGCGGTGGCGCTCCAGCTGCGTCTGGACCAGCCTCGCGCCCTCACTCCTGCCGCTGTATATGCTGGCCTCGCGCGTGCCTTCCAGGTCGAAGTGCCTCAGCATCTCGTCCTCGTACCTGTCCAGGACCTTCGCACAGGCCGCCTCGAGGCCCGCTGGTGTGGCCACTGAGCCCAGGTCGGCATGAACATCAGCCCAGTCTGGTCCAGGCAGCTGGGGTCCGATCAAGGCCTGGGCAGGGAAAGGGCGGGCCTTGTGCGCCCGCGTCACCAGCCCGCCAGGCCTGGGCAGTGCCAGCTGCAGGAGGACTGCGCGGTGAGCCTTGACGTCGAAATGGTCGCACCTGCTGACGCTCTGGACGGGCGCGTCCGCGCCCGCGCAGAAGTAGTCGAGCTCCCGCGCCGAGGTCGCCGCGATGCAGGAGGGCCCCCCGAACACGCCAGACGTGCCCCCACTGTGGGGAGCAGGTGGGCCTCGTTCACCACGTCGGGTATCATGTTCCAGTCGGCCCCCACCACGAAGGGGCGATGCATGGCCCTGACGACAGAGCCCAGGTTGGTGAGCATGTCCAGGTTGAAGTCGCTCAAATCCTGGTTAGTGTGGAAGTACGCCGAGACCATGAGCGCGCCCGCTGTCGAGCCCAGCGAGGTCATCCAGAAGCCCATGCGAGCTGAGCAGCGGATGCAGATGCGGTCGTCGCTGAACTCGACGCGTCGCATCCGCACCCAGGGCCGCACCAGAATCCCCACTCCCGAGGACACGCCGCCGACGTCCGCGACGGACGCTGGGATGAGGTCGGCCACCCAGCCCGCTCGCTCGGCTGCACGCACTGCCGCTGCAAGTCGTAGTTCGTCGTGAAGGCGGTGTTCCTGCAGCAAGATGGCCTGCGCCCCGTCGTCGACGTGGCCGCGCTCCAGCTGTTCGAGGCAGGAGCCCC